AACTCGATCTCCAACTTGCCCGCTAACTGGTTGATGCTCTCCATCCTTTTCTACGGAGCCCGATCCAACAACTACTGTGGCTTGAAATACCTTTCCTTGGGATTTTTCTGGAAGCATAATGCCTCCTTTGGTTATAGTTTCCACAGCACTCCTTTAAACTAGTAATACTCAGTCAAAGAGGGGAAGAAACTTTCTAAATGCCTGTCCTGCCAGGACCCCGGCTGCCTCAGTTTGAACTCTGCTCTTGCGCCGCGCCCGCAAACAGAGACCTATAGTCCAGCCCCTATTAGGGATATTTTCAAACCCACACAAAAGTAGAGAGGATGGTCTAACAGACCCCTGGGAGCCATCAGTTCATGTCAACAATGATCAACACAGGCCTGGCTTCTCTTCACAGGGTTTTACCTACCAGGGCATCGTAGTCTGTCTCCCCGGTCTCACTGCAAGTTCCTGAGGCTGAGACAGTGCTTCCTCCCCCCTTTCCGACCCCCTCCCCAGCCCTCAGGACAGCAGCATAGGTCTTGGCCCAGAGAAGACCCCCAATCCACAGTGGGTGGATATCAACAGTCCCCATTAGTAGAGCACTTACTATACATTCAGTCCTTCTTCTAAGTGCTAACACATCTTAGTTCACTGACTCCTCACAGCATCCCTGCGAGGCATGGCCTATTATTTCTTCCATTTACAGATTGGAAAACTGAAGCTCAGGTTACACAGGGGGTCAGTGGGAGAAGGCAAACCAAGGCTATCTAACTCAGGCACGAAGCTGCCCATAGAGAGAAAACGCGAGCCTCATGTGTTATTTTGAATTCTCTAGTAGCCACATTAAAAGAAAAAAAACCCCAGTAAATTAATTTTAATAATATGTTGTATTTAGCCCAGTATATCTAAAATATCTCAACATGTCATCAATATAAGACACTATTAATAAGATATTTTGCAATCTGTTTTGCATACTACATCTTCAAAATCCTGTAGGTTATATTCACAGCACAGCTCAATGCAGACTAGCCACATTTCAAGTGCTCCACAGCCACACGTGCAACGGTATTGGCCAGCACAGCTAGTGGTCACCACCCTGGCCCCAGAGCCTGCACTCTCAACCACTTCTCTAATTAAATGAGTGAAGGGAGAAATGAGTGAATAGGACTCCCAAGGACCCTTGGCCCTGAGCTTTCCTTCATAATTAATAATGCTTACTATTTTATGGCCCTTTAGAGTCTCTCTGGCACCATCTTATCTGCCAAGGGGACTATTAACCCTGTTCCCTGGATGAGAATGATGGTGTTAAGAGGGGCAAATGCCTTGCTCAGACACACTGCTGCAAGTGGCAGAGCTGGGGCTAAAACCCACAAGTCTGGACTCTAAGACCAGTGCTCTGCAGTGAAGTGGGGTACAGCTGCCCCCTGAAGCGAGACTGTGTCTGTCTGGCAGAGGGGGTGTCTGCTCAGACCACAGGCTGGGCTGGCTACTGGGTTGGGAAGCTGCAGAGCCCTGTTTTGGCTGGTCCCCAGAGGAAGTGATGCCCTTGGTGAGTGGCAGGACAGGCACAGGCCCAGGGAGAGGATGGGGCCCATGCCAGGTCCGCTACGGGAAAGAACCTTGTCATTCTTCAGTCTCAGTTTGGCTACGAGAGGCTGAGAACAAATTGATGGCAATGAAGCCATAACTTACCTCTGAAGGCCTCTTTGTTCTTGGCAAAACAGAGGGGTCATTAGTAATAGGAAAAGCGCTGTGAGAAGACATAAATTCCCCCCACTGCAGGGCTGATACACAGCCCAGAGGGGCCAAGGACTCAGGGTGCCGGACGGGATAACCAGGTGCCACGGATCGCTGTGGGCTCAGGCCTGTGTCCACCCATGTGCTGCCTGAGCCACCTCCTGCCCAGGCTCTGGAGGCGCCTGGAGACACCTGGAGACCCAGTCACCCACAGTGGCCTTCAGGACTCGCACCTGGCTCCAGGGGTCCCTGAGGCCCTCAGTTCTGTCTTTCAAATGAAAACGAGTCCAGAGCACCTAGAGCTGGAGCAGGCTCCGCTGGGCACTCAGGGCCAGCTTGGGGCAATTAGCATGAAGATGCCTTTGCAGGGTGCCCTTTCTCCCTGCTTTGAGCCAAATAAGCACTGGCCAAAACTCCCAGGAAAAGGCCAGGACTTAACATCGTAGGAGAGGCCGGAGCGTGAGGCCAGACACTTTGCAGACAGTATTCTTTGCAGCAGTGTCTACGCTGGCTGAGGGAAGTAGAGACGAGGCCAAGTCCTAGCCTTGAGTTCACCTGCTCCCCTGGGGACTCTGCCCTCCTGCCCATCTGCCTGCTAGAGGCTCACACTGAGCCTGGTTCACAGGGAGACCATGCCAGCCCAGGGCTAGAGGAGAAGGGTGGGCAGGAACAGGTGGGTGGGCAGCCAGACAAGCCAGGTGCTCAGGATGAGGAGGGAAGGAAAAGAGAAGGACGGCCCTTTCCTCAATCTGTCCGAAAGGATTTGGGTGGGGTTAGGTGGTGACAAACATGACGACCATAGCGGCCACCCTGCGAGTTTGGCCCAAGTGCTATATTACCAAGGATGGCAAATACGTGCCACTGGCGGGGCCAATCCATTTCCACACTCATAGAGACTCTACCAATTAAATACCGCGCTGAGCCCATTTGGCTTCATGGTCCTCTTCAGGCAGCCATTACCCATCAATCAAAGTTGGCATGTGAGAGGAAACCCATTTGTCATCCTTTCTAAAAGCCCTCAAGGCACATCCGTGCTGGCAGTGGGAATTCTATATAGCTATGTTAACTGCTCCAGGCCTTCCAGAAGTTTCTGCCTCCTGCCCCCACCTTCAAACACATCCCCTACCTGTAGTTTCACATCCTGGCTCTCCCTTCTCATCTTGTTGTTTTGTATGTGGGAACCAGGCCCAGGAGAGCACCTCCCTGGAAATCCCACAGGACATTGCCCCAGGCAATTGTCCCCAGACTCTCAGCTCCAAGCCCAGCCCACACACTGGAGGCTCAGCAGCTCCACCTTCTAGCCTCCTGCTCCAAGGGACCGGTGTGAGGAGGTAGAGCTGGCGGGGGCCATCTTTGAAGGCTGGAGAGGACCTGAGAGTCTGGGGCTGACAGCCTGATACTCAGCAGGGACCTAGAATGGACCAATGCCCTTGAGGATAGCCTCCCAGTCACTGCAGGAATTTTTCATCTGGCCACAACCTCAGGCCAGGCCCTGGCTCCCTGCTCCCCACCCCCATCCATGCTGGGGTGTGTCTGGAACCAGCTCAGAGGCAACAAGATGAGGAGATACTCCCCCCACCCAGCCAGGTGTCCGCTTCACGGCGCCACCTTCTTCTGGCCCCTGGCCTAAGGACCGCCTGCATCTGAACTACCTGGGGTGCTGTGAGAAAGGACCATGCCGTTTCATCCCCTCACCTCCCCAGTGCTACAGAATGAGAATCTCCGTGGGTGCCAAGGACTCTGCGTTTTTGGTAGGAGCCCCCAGAGATTCTTGGGCAAACAGCAGGTTTGAAAACCCACTACTCTAGAGTGACATTCATTCATTCATTCATTCAAGCGTACACTTATTCCACAAGGACATGTTGGGATTTATACTGTGCTGGGCGTCAGAATGGGGAAGTGGGGTGGGGAGAGCAGAGACCCAAACCTATGCTGCTGCTGTTTTGCACATGAGCCGGTCTGACATTTGCTCTAGGTCCTGGGTCACCGGGCTTAGAGGCACAATAATAGTCATGCCAGCAGCTGCAGGTCATAGGGAGCCTGTAATACCCTGATTTCCAAGGAGGTGAGGGGATCTCCCTCCCACAACCTAACCCCCAGCTTTTCAAGGGTAATATTAGCTGCCAGCAGTGATAATGATAATAACTAATACTGACAAAGTACCTTACATACATTAATTGAGCTCTTCACATATATTAAGTCTTCTGACTTTTGAAACACCCGAGGTAGGTACTCTTATTGCTCCCATTTTATGGATGAGAAACTGAGGGATAGAGGCCCACCCAATACAATATGCGCAAGACTCCATGCTCTGTGTTCTTGATCACTACATCTTGGTGTCTTTTGAGCTTTAGGGAGAAAATGCCCCCCAAATGCCATTGCCTGCCCTCAAGGTTGCGATAGGGAGGGGCAATAGGGTGGACACTGGCCTAGTGGCCTGCCATCCTCCTGGTCATCAGTCTGGTCTGCCCAGATGCACCAGGGTGACCCTTCACTGACCAGTAGGCAGAGCAGGGAGGCCATGTGTGGGTAGCGGTTGGAGGGCAGGGATAGAGCCAGCATCTGTGTGTGCGCGAGCAGCTTCTCAGGGACCTCTCACCAGCTCCCTTGCTCCAAAGCCACCCAGCCTCGGAACAGTCAAATGGAGCTGCTATTTCATCAGTCTTTGGGTGAGGACATAGGTCAGGGATCCTATCACCCAGAACCTTGTCTATAATCGGCCACTATTCTGTTCAACCAAGAAATCAGGTGGGAGAAGAGGGCTTCTGTGCCTGCCCTGCTGCATTCCAGAGGATGCATACATTTCCAATGGTCAGAAATGTGAAAAGAACATGAAATCAGCTGAAGGTGCAGCTCTAGTCATTCTAAAATGATGTCAAAACTGCTACACTTTCATCAGGTAAGAAAAGGACAAAGGAAACCCAGAGCTCTACAGGAGGCTATATGGGAGACACCAGTGAGCCAGGCTCAGAGCTCCCAAGTCCCCAGGTGCCTCAGACCTTGGACAGTGGCACACACTCCTGTCCCCCAGAGCCACTCAAGTGGCTCCCAGACACCTTAGCCTCATCCCCAAGCTCTTCTCCTCTCCCCTGCTCCGTCCTCCTTCATGCAGTCAGTCCCTTTCCTGGGTCCTTTGACAACAGTTATCCCTGGGGACAGACAGGTCCTCTTATATCACTGTCCCACCCACCCACGGACCTCTCTTTAGCTCCAGAGCCTGACACTCTTACAGTGGTTCTTTTGGGGTGGTGGATGGGGACCATGGACAGCCTAAGCCTTACCTGAGACGATGGTGTAGCCAATCCCTCGGGGACGTCCTTTATCTTGGTCAATGGCAGTGATAACGCGCACAGTTGTGCCCTGGATAGGAAAGAGAAGGGACTTGAGTTTGGTTGCCCAGATCCCAGGCTGCTTTCTTTCTTTGTAGCCGTCTTGTCTTCCACAGCTTCCTTCCCCAGGTGGAGACCCTGCTGCAAGGCCAGCCTAGGAAACAGGTGCTGAGTGCTCAGGCCTCAGCTGCTCCCATCATCCCTGGGACATACACTGAGGCCCCCAGGCAAATACCTGCGTCCTTTGGAGATGCCCAATCTTGTTGATATTCTCATTCCTGCTTCCCCTACCCATTTCCTCTCATTCAGTTGAACTACCCAGGAAAAAAGAGCTGATGGAGGAGGGAGGCAGGGAGACAAGAGATCGGGTCTCCATCTCGACCAACTATCAAATTGCTGTGTGATCTCAGGAAGGTTGCTGCATCTCTCTGGTCTCAGTTTGCCTCACTTTAATGTGAATAACAAAAACCCTGGGAACTTGTTTCCACTAGGACCTGAATAAAGGAGAACATCACCTATCAATTACACTATGAATGAAAGCATCATAAATCTTGAAAAAAAGTATCTCTAGGTATGACTGTGGCAACCCTGGAGGCCACCTTGGCCCTAGGCAACATGCCCCAGCCAGCACTGCAACTGGCAGTCCCTGCCTCAAACGGCTCTATCCCACACCCCATTCATTTTGCAGCACTGGGGGAGAACAGGCCAGGACCTGGGACTACCAGGATGGGAATCAGGGGTCCCTGCTCTTGGGGAGCACATAGTCTATGGCAAGCGGTCAAGGACATGGGCACAGACACTGCCATACACATATGGGGGTGCTTAGATGCAGAAATATACCCCGAAGTGCAGAAGTCTACCTGGAGGAGCTGGCAAAGGGTTGTACAGGTGGAGGCATTTAGAATGGATCATGAGGAACAGGTAGGATTTTGCCAGGGAGAGAAAATGAAGAGGAAGGTGCTCCAGGCAAAAGTTACAGCGCGGGCAGGGGCTTGGAAGCACTGACCTCTCTAAGAAGAGGTCCTGGCATATAATGGGCGCATTCAAATATCAATTGATTGGTTGATTGAGTGAATAAATGAATGGACAAATGAAAGGAACCTAACATCACCAACACCACCGCCACTTGCTGAGTTGCCCCTTGCCCAGAGCAACCTTCACCTTGCTCTCCAAGCCCTATCACACCAGCGTCCAGCCATCCATCCCTGCCCACCATGCCTACCTCAGCCTCTGGCCCAGGCTGCAGTAGTCCCTGGATGATGGAGAGCAGAACAGCCCTGTCCCCATCCCCTAGAGAAATATCAACCCTGGCATCTGCATGCATAATGAAGGGCTGTGTGGCCTTGGTGCCTCTCCCTCATTGATCAGTTAGAGGCTAAAGCCTTCAGGCTGCACCCTGTACCCCCATCTGAGCACCTTCTCCTGTGGTGAGAGGCTTGTTCCCTGACACACAGGTCCTCTTAGCTGGAGGGTGGGGGCCTGGGTTGCAGGTCCTCCCCTCCAACTCCTCCTGGTCTCGCTGCCAGGACACCGGAGGGGCGGCTACCATCTCACTCTCCCCAAGCAGTGCTGCCCCCGCACAGCTGTCAGTCCTCCCTCACCTGGGCCCAAGTGTGCAGCAATCTAGAACATCTCTAAGTTTGGCGAAGAGAAGGTGAGAATGTTCCAGGAGAAATGTCTCCCGCAGACAGACAGACACAGTCCAGAGGCTGAGGCTGTGCCGATAGCAGGTCAGGCTCCCTCCTTTGGGTCCCTTCCCCCCGGGAACAGGAGCTCTGGCTAGATCCCCTGGGGGAAACAAACTGCTCCAAAGAAGTCGGAGGAAGGTACAGTTTAAACCAGCATCTCCTAAGATGGGTTCTGAGGACCTGAGTTGTGCCAGAGACTGTGAAGTACCGGCTGCGACAGGACCTGCCTGTCTCGAGCACTCACGGTGTGGCTGGCGCTGCTGCAAACGCTTTTTATGTACTCAGTCTTTCCACCCTCACACTACCCCATGAGACAGCCCCGTTTTACAGAAGAGGAAACTGGGGAACAAGAGCTAAGCAGCCTTTCCAAGTAAATGGTGAAGCCAGGATTCAAATTCAGGCTCTTTGGCTCCAAAATGCTCTTGCCTGCCAGGTGGTACTGCCTCTGCAACAGGTTCTGTTATGATGATGATAACAGTATTTGTGAAAGTGGCTGCTGTCGTGCTTACAGTCTAAGCGCTTTACAAGCATTAACTCATGTCAAATTTGGGGAAATGTACCTGCCCCATCCTTCTCTTGAAGATGCACAATGGGTGTCGGTATGGGTAAGGCTCCTAGACGTGGTAAAGTGGCAAAGACACCTGCTAACCTTTGTCCCCAGGCTTGCTGATCTGAAGACAGATCTTTCATGTAACATCTGTTAACAGCACTAGATGTAGGGGTCCATGGGAGGTCATCTGGGAAGCGATGCATTAGGCTTGATGGGTCTCCACTAACCGCTCCCACCAACATCACCCTACAAGGGGCTCTTTTTTTGGAGTCTGCGCTTCCTGGAGTCATGCCTCACTTAGGAGAGGCCTGGATTTGCCCCCAGGAGAAGGTCCCAAGGGTGCAGGGCTCTGGCCTGAGGCTCCAGCTGCCAGGATGGGCTTTCTGGACACGGGGACAACTCCCAGCTGGCATGGGCCCCGTACGGATCCCTGGCCCTGGGCTGCCCCTGGGCTGCTGAAGGAGGACGGTGGGGTTGGGGAGTGTGGACAGTGCTGGCCTGTTAAAAAGGGGGACTTAGCGACCAAAGAACCCGCAATCCTCAGGGCGATGTGTGCATCTCCTCCACGGACTCTCTTGACCCATGATGTCAGGAATCCTCCTGGGTGGGCAGGGCTCAGAGGGGGCAGCCGGCCATCCAGGGTCAGGCGACAAGGAGGCTGGCTCTCCTCAGGAAGACCCACACCTAAGCTTCCACAAAGTCAGGTCTAAAAGACTCCTGACAAAGTTTGGGGTTTCATCTCTTTTTGGGTAAATAAATCCATTTTTAATAAAAATCCTGAGCTTTTAATACAAGTGCAGCCACAAAGACTAGAAATGTTATGAGAAGGAATTAACGAGGAGGAATGGGGGCTCTTGGGACTCCACGGCTCTCTTATTTCAGTCTCAGCGATTATATTTTCAATATACTGAAACTTATTTCCAAAGACAAGGAGATGGAGCAGCGAGGCCCGTGCCTGACCCTGGGCCCCTTGCCAGGCTCACTCTGCCTGGCTGCCTCTCCAGAGAGGGACCCCAGCTGGGGGTGCACTAGGGTGCGGCACGGAGAGCAGGTGGGCAGGCTCAGGAGGGCTAGAGATGGGGCTTGCCGTGACATGGGCTCCTCCCCTTCAAAGGAACCCGCATTGTAGGGAGGAGGCCTCTTGGGAAATAGGCTCCCCCCAGAAAGGCTGAAGGCACACGGGCCTGTGGTGTCCCAGCTCTCTATGGTGGGAAGAGCAGCACAGCAGGGGGTTCAGGGTTTGATGCTGTTGCCAGACTGCCTGCATTTGAATCCTTTGAGTGAGCTACTTAAGCTCTCACTGCTTTGTTTTACCCATCTATAAAATGGGTATAACAATAGATCCCACCCCTCAGCAATTGAAAGTAAAAGCACCTGGAACAGTGCCTGATACACAGCGAATGCTATAAAAATGACACTATTCATTGGGGCCTGGAACTGCTCTGAGCATCTGATGAAAGCTAAGGTGCCTCTTTCCAGACAATGCACACAAGTGACATTCCAAACAATTCCAGAAAATTCAGACACCCCAACACCCCATATTAATAATCCCTACCCTAGAGGTGAGGCATTTTCTGGGTATTATATACAGAGAACACCTAACAGTCTGTAGGGAGAGCCCATATTATTTGCTGAGCATCTACCATGTACCAAGCACTGTGCTGGGCACCCAACATAGGTTCTCTCTCTTTTTCCTCACAAACTCCCACAATGAGGGTATATGTGAGGACACAGGCTCAGAGGGCTCAGGGATTTGCTTAAAGTCACAAGGTGCAGCGCGTAGGTGAGGTGGGGGTGACTGGGGAATGGAGGGCTGCTTTGGGGTGGGCCTGGGTGGGTGTGCGAGGCAGCCCCAGCTGTGAGGCTTGGTACCAGTGGTGATGTCGGGGCAAAGTTGAGGGGAGCTGGGACTTCTCTAGAAGGAACATGTGTCTCCCTCCTTCCAAAAAACCTGGCCAGGAGAGCAGCTGAAGCCAGAGCCCGATTGGGCTCTCTACATGGCTTCCGGGGTTCTGGTCCACCTCCCTCTCTGCTGGCTCAGCTGGGGCTACCCTTCCCCTGCCCCCTCCCTCCTTTCCATGACAGGATTAAAGACTTGAAAGGTGGACATGCAGTTTGTTTCAGGAATGGGAGTGCCTTTGGGGGGGAGGCCGGTTAGGGCTGAAGGGGACTTCCGACAAGAGCTGCCACAGCAGATTCTGAGGCAGAAAATCCTATTTCTCAGTTCTTAATTCCAGTCAATTCCAGTCAAAGGGCTGATAGGCATCGGCTGGCAGTAATTTGTGCAGTTTATCCGTTCTTTTCACCTTCTATCGGTCCTTCACTGACGGGCAGGCCGACATGCTGCTGCTCGAGTGAGGAAATTAAAATTTGAGGCAATAATCCCAAATAAGAAGGATTTTATTAGGTAATATATACACTTTGGATGAGGCATGCTGGCCTGATACACTGATAGAGAGAGGCATACATGCTGGGAGTCCTAGATAAAGAGGGGGGGCGAGGGAAAGTGGACAAGGGGCCAAATAGAGACCCCGGGCCAGCAGAGGCGAGACCGGGCATGGGGAGGCCTGGGTCCTCCAGCCTGGGAGGCTGGACAGGCCGTGGCGCTCCTCAGCTCAGGCAGGCCTGGGAAGTCCTGCGTTAAATCAGGGTTCCACACTGTAAAGGGGCATGGAAGGCCTGGATCAAAGGAACGAAAACCAATTAAAAGCCTGGAAAAATCAGGCGTGGGGCGTACGGGAATCGGCCTATAGGAGAAAAGCCGTGCAAGAGGGCAGACCCCGGAGAGCTCCTTTCAAGTGTGGACACAGAGATGATTCTGTGGCCCTGGGGGAGCCAGCCAGCGTCTGGGAGAGGCCCAAACTCTCAACTGTCTTCCTTTAGTAAGGAAGGAAAGCTTCAATGACCTTGTGGGGCCACAGGGACAACCTTGGCAAGGCAAAGAGATATCAAGATCCCTGAGCCTGAGAGAGAATATATCTGATGCTAGGAAACTGAGCATTAGGAGAGTAGGCGCTAACCAAGGGGAGCAGATATCCCCATTTGCCTGGTCTGAAGGGTCATCCTAGCAGAAGCCTGTAGAACTACCTGGAGAGGAGAAGGTGTGGCTTAGCACAGGGCCCTGCACACAGGAAGGGCTTAATACATGGCTAGTGGATAAATAAAAAAGTGGAACATTGAATGAATGGACAAACTCAGAAATCTGCAGAGCTGAAACAATATTCCTCGGCTACGATACAGGGATGACAGGAAAAAAACAAACTGAAGGGCCTTGGAGGATACTCACCCTGCCAACACCTCTCTTGCTGATTATCGGGACCCTGAGATGAAGCTGAAGCTGGGACCCCCAGCTCAATCCTATTCCTATAACTGACTGGCTGGCCGACTTATAACCACTATGATCGAATGTCTGCAATGCCGGCGCTTTCTGGGTGCGCTACCTGAGCATGCTATCTCCAGTCCTTAAAACCCTCAGATGTGGGAGGCACTGTTGTAGACATGATTAAGCCCCAGTTTCCCAAGGAGGAAACGGTCTGGAGATTGAGTGACTTGGCCAAGGTGAGTGTGTGACTGTGCAGGAACCTGCTCCAAGTTCCTCAGGCTGCTCGGCCACCATCACACCCTTACTTCAAGGAAAAAAAGTTGGCTTTGCTCATCTTCTCTACACTCAGTCCTGGATGCAAAGCCCAGGAAGACCCACAGGGAGCCTGCGACCAGGTCCAGAGACTCCGGCCACCTTGATTACTGGGGGCTTTCAAGTAAGCCACTCACACAGTGAACATTACAGGTGTGACTATAATTTAGTGGTAAATTAAGCAACACAGGGAGAGTCAGTTCTACCAGAGCTGAGGGGAGAGACATGGCTATGTCTGTAGGCCAGTGAGGATAAAGCCAGGACAAAAATTCTAAGAAAGGTGGCTAAGCAGCCGGAAACCAACATATGTGTGGTCTTTGGATTGGTGTTGGGAGCAGGCACAAGAGGTGATGAGGATGGTAGAATGGTGAGTGGGCTGGTCTGATCAGGGCATCTATTCATTCATTCATTCATTCCATAACACTTCCTGAGTACCCACACTGCTATGCGCACAGCAGACCCCTATCCCTGCAGAGTTCCACTTCCAGTCCCTCAGGGAAGAAGAGGTTGAGCAAGCTGTTTAGGAACACAGAGCACCAAGATGGGGGTGTCCAGGTGCCGAGGGCAGATGGAAGTACACATCTTATCCGAAAGGTCAGGGAAAGCCTCCATGGTTGAGAAGATGTGGACTTAACAAAGGGGTTTGCGGGGAGACAGCCTTCAGTCTCAAAAGCTGGAGCTCCCACTGTTCATGAAAGAGAAGAAAGAGAAGGCTGGGGTGGGGGGGCATTGAGACATCCCCCTCTACCCTCAAAGCCACTTCAGATCCCTGAAACAGAAGGCCAAAAAGCCTCTTGCTTGTTGATGCTCCAAGTGCATACCTGGGCCCAAGAAGGAAGGGGCTACCCCCACACACCTGGAGATAAGAGCATATTGCCTCAGGGGTAACAATGGCCAGGACAAACCACTGTCTCCCAGCTGGAGGTCAGCCTTCCCTGGCCTTGGCGGCCCAGGGGCACAGTCTGCACCCTGATCAAGGGAAGCCTGCCTCTCACTTGTGCCCAATTCTGCGAGCCTGTGCGGACGTGCTGGCGGAGCCCTGAACCTCCACGTGTGCCGGTGGGCACTCCACTTTGCTCTCAAAGCTGTGTCCTTCCTCTAAGCACACCGACTTCCCTTACATGGAAGGGCACATTTTTCCTCCCCAAGCTGTGTGTCCAGGGGTTGTGTTGGCCCAGAGGAGCTGTCTTGTTTTAATTTATCTTTTTATTCTACTTTGCACAAAAGCATGGATGGCTACCAGGCAAGGGGTGCCTGTCACTGCTTGCCTAGCCCCCAGCTGAGTGGGCAGTAGCATGTGTTTTGTTCTCCAAGACCCGCAGTTACAACTGATTGGACCAGAGGTGGACACATGGCCCAGAGGGCAGCCAATCTCCAGGCTGGCTAGTGATCTATGACCTTGCGACATGGCACAAAAATGATGAGTACAGCCAATCAGGTGTCTCTCTTGAAAATCTGGACTTGAGTAGCCCAGAGCCTGGGCAGTTAGGAGAGGGAGCTGGAGCGGTGAGCTCTCAGGGAAGAACCGAGTCTGAGAAAGGCCTGCAGAGCAGAGGGCAAGCTGCTGCCATCCTGGGCAGTGTGGGTTGGCAAGACAGGCAGATTGACCTACTGGCCTGTCGGGAACATGGCTGAGCCACACTGATGTTTTGGTGAGCCCGGCTGAGTCCAAATCCACTCCCCAGCCTAGGCTGGGTTTTCCAGGGGCATCCCCACCACCCCACAGAAATCTTTCTGCACTGCTCCCCTTTATTTGCACTAGCAAGTCTTTGCTCTTTGCTACTTCGAGCCCTCTGGGGATGATGTGAGGTGGGGTGCCCTCGTGAAGAGGGGGTTGGGTTTTCCTTGTGCTAAGACACCCATCACTGCCATACGTAGGGATTGGGGGAGGTGGGACATGCCAAGAAGGAGCCTGTCCCACCAAAGGTCCTCATCCTTATGGCCCACAGGGCCGAAGAGGGTCTTACCGGAGGAGAATGCTCGTAGATATTGGTGCTGTAAGGCAGGTTGACGAAGATGGGGTCCATGTCCTGGACGTCTGTGATGATGATGGCCAAGTTGGCTAGGGTGGACAGAGGCCTGGTCTTGTCTTGATCCTTGGAGGGTAAAAGTACACAGCCTTAAGTTAAGTGATGTTGTGGACATGCACACATGCATACAACACACATACCTGCACATACAGGACACCGAGGTGCACGAACATATGTGCACATATATTATCATGCTCTCCCACACTCCCACAGGGCAGGGCATTAGTATATGGAAATTCAAGTACTCAAGAACCCACACAGGTGATCTCTGACCTGTGCAGGGAACCACATACAGGGCTCCAAGGCCCAGTGGAAGGCGGCTTATCCAACATCACAAAGCAGGGCTACCCCCAGCCTGGCCTAGGCTTGACCACCCTGGATATCGGCGGGTGGGATGACTGGCTTGGGGTAAAAGATGGTGTTGTCCTTAGCTCGCTCACTGGATTCAGCCGGGGTGAATACCGCTGCACCCTTCCATGCATAGTTCCCCCCACCCATCCCTGGGCAGCAAGTGAATGACTAGGGTGGGGGTTCCTTAGGAGAAAGGCCCTTCGACCCCCAAGGGGCCTGTGTCCCTGCTCTGCATTTTGTATTTATTGATCAGGCAATTTTTCCAGTAGTACCAGCAGGGGGAGCTCCAGGGCCTGTGACATTTGGGGGGACCCAGGAAGGAATCCTGAGGGGTCATGGAGGCCATCTGCCTGTGGCCAGTGTTTATACCCTCCTAGTTAGTTGGAAACTTAGTCCCATGAAAGCCTACCAAGAAAGAAAACCCGAAACCCGCATTTTATTCCCCTAAAATACACAGGCCATTTAAATAGCCCACTACCGTTGAATAACAACAGTCAACAAGCAGAGCAACTGGGCGCTAAACACAGATTATATATCAGGCACTGTGCCAGATACCTCATTTGCTTTTGTAGGTATTATATGTGAATTATTCAGATGAGCTCACAGAAACTCAGAAAGGTTAAATAATTTGCCCAGAGTCACACAGCTGGTAAGTGTATAGCCAGGACACAAACTCAGGTCCTTTTGTCATACAAATCTGCCCTTAACGCTCTCAATTTGGGGTCTTAACATCAGCTCAGTCTCTGACTTGCTGTGTCACCTTGAATAAGTTCTTTTCCCTCTTGGAGTCTCAATTTCCTTCTCTGTGAGATGCAGGGGCTCAATGCAATGACCTCTAGGGACCCTTGGGCTCCTAAATTCTCTGGTCTGGGGAGAATTTGGGGAGCAACTGTCCTCGGGTTAGACCTGCCTTAGTCTACGGTGACCTGAACAGTGCAAGGCATTCCCCATGTTATAAGCCTAGTTATTGCTCCTGCCCTCCAAAGATAGAGCTGTAGAACCTTCGAGAAGGAAGGGCTTGTTGTTTTAAGAGTCCTCAGGGGTAGCCAAAAACACCAGGGGGCCTTTGGTGATGGGAGTGGGTGTAGCAATGGAGGGGAGAGTGTGGAGGCAGGAGGAGCTGGGGAGAGGGACCACAGAGGGCACAGCCTCCCCGGCTCCAAGACCATGGTGCCCACAGACGAGGTAGGCTTGGGGACTGCCCATGGGGAGAGCTCTCAGCCAGGGACTTGCATGACCACAGGGCAGACAGGGCCAGACGGGGAGGCCTGGCAAGGAGTCCTTTGAGCTCTTGGGCAGGGGCTGCCCGTGGTTCTGATTTGTCATTACCAGGCTTTGTGGGCCGCTGGCCTTGTCCAGTCTGGCACCTGCCCTCCCCACCCCACACCGTGGCTGTGGCTTTAGTCCTGCTCCTGCCATGGATGTGCTCATCCTGTGCACCCCTGACTCCACGGCTGGGAAAAGGGAATGTCAGTGGGCATATCTGGCTGGGAAGGCACCTTGCCAGGCTCCCAGCTGTCACTCTGGGGTCTGCGGCTCTCAGCAGTTTGTTCCCAAGGGAGTCCTCACGTTTCCCTCCCCTGGTACCCACCCAGTAGTGGCTGGGAACTCATACTGCTGCCTGCAATGCCACATAGGAGAATCTCCTTGGGGAAATGCCCAGCAGCCAAGGACACAGTGGCAGCCCTGAGAAGGAACTGTGGATCAAGTGGGGGAGCTATCGATACCAAAGGAAGTTCTCAGCCCCTCCCTTCTACCACGTCAAGGCCTGATTGCTGGGAGATTAGCAGCAATTTAACAGTATTCACCAGCCCAGCTTGAGCCCAGGCCTCTTGACAGGCCTGGCCACCCAGATTTGTGCCTGTGCCCAGCTCTGGTCTCTTTCCCACCCCCCTCAAAGCTATTTTTATAATGGATGCAAATTATCCCACAGGGACAGGTTCATAGCCTGAAAGAGAGCAAGCATCTGCGTTTCTGGGCCCAGGTGTGTGCAAATGGAGAGTGGCAGGAGGGGCGCCACCCCACGTGTGGGTGCAGGAGAGTATGGAAGGGTACAGGTGTGTGCAAAAGGCAGACCCTGGCCCTGCGAGGCCCCTTCTCCCAGGAGTCAGTTTTACACACGTCAGCACACACTTCCTCCCAGGATACTAACACTTAACCAGAGGAGAAGGGAAGAAAGTGGGTGTTGTCTACAGTGCCTTCTCCAGGAGCCACTGACAGCTACAAAGGAAAAGTTGCATTTTCTGATTCTTGGGGCCCCCCTGCATCTTGACAAAGCCTGGAGCAGCCCCATCTTTCAAAACCAGCCTTTCCACCCATCCAGTGTGTCTTTCTCAGAGATCTGGGCTATGTGGCCTGCTGAGTGGAGCCCCCAATGCTACTGGCAGCCCCCACTGCAGTGACGCAGAGGCAGGGGGTAGATGCTGCGAGGCAGGTGAATGGGTCCTAGAGAAGCAAGAGGGGCTCTGGTGATGTGTTTGGCTTTTGGTCTGAGCTTTGTAAACAATCTATCTGCCCTGCTACCAGCTGATGGCTCCAGCTGTGCCCGGAGGCAGCGGCCAGGAGCAGGAGAGAGTGGAGGGCTGGGTCAGAGCCTATTTAGGGGGTGGCCTGCCTGTCCCCTACGCTCTTCCAAACAGCTGGCAATGAAGGCGAGTGGCTGTGATGTTCGGGAGACTCAGAGACTCTTGGCCGTGGGCACCGGACTGGGCGTCAGACAGCCTGGGTTTGGGTTCTCGCTCCCCCAACTACTCATTGGCTGTGAGTCTCAACAGTGACAGCCACAGAATGGGGTCCTTATTCCTCTCGTGCCCCCTCTTCTGACTAACTCATCCTGGAATTCCCAGGGCCCAGCACAGTGCGTGGCACAGATGGGTGAACCCTACTGTGTAAGTGTCACCCCTCTAGAGAAGTGGCCAGGAGCCCCCTGACTCCTGCATGTTGGGTGCTGTCAGGACACCGCTGGGGTGACACCCCTGTCCTGTGTTCCAGAGAGCGAGAGGCTGCCCTGCACTGTGAATGTCCTGTGGGGATACCAGTGTGATGCTGGAGCCCAGCTGCTGGGTGACCATGGGCAAGTTCTGAATGGCTCCTGTACCTCAGTGTCCTCATCTGTAAACTGGGTGTCCTAATAATATGTATGACACAGGGCTCTTGTGAGATTTAACGAGACAATCCATTTGAACGCTCAGCACAGAGCCAAGGACACAGCACGAACCCTCAGTAATGTTGGGTGTCTTTATTATTATCACCAGCATCGTTATAGAACCTCGAGTAACAGGGCCCCAGGATCGTGTGCTGTCACTCTCTTTGAGGGTGGGAGGAAGCCACGCCTGGGGCCCAAGTGTGGCAACTCACCGTGGCGTTGACAGTGAGCTGGTAGCTCTGCGTGGTCTCGTAGTCCAGCTCCTGGATCACGGTGACAATGCCGCGGGCGCTGTCGATGGCAAAGAACTCGGAGGGGGGCTGGAAGGAGTAGAGGACGCTGCCCCCTGCCCCCAGGTCGGGGTCCGTGGCATTCACAATGAAGATGGGCGTCCCCACCGGTGTGTCCTGAGGTGAAGCAAAGCAAATAAAAGGGTGAGTGGAGCTCGGAGCAGCTGCCTTCATCAGTGATTGTTCCCCTAAAGCCCATTAACCACGTCCCTCCAGCCAACCAGGCCCACGGCCCTGTCATTTTTATTCAAAGAGGGTTCAGAGAAATTTAAAATGCAGTATCTGTGTGTTTTTTTTTCTTTTTTTGATGGCCTCCTGGTGGCTGTAACAGCACCAGTTCCAAAGATGATCTGCTCATCCTGAAGTTCTGGATGAAAGCCTCTCAGTCCCTAAACCCCTGTTTCTTGGCAGTTTGGCTTCTTCTGTCGAGTGCACCCCGGCTGCCCAAGCCTCAGGCCCGGGCTGCTCCAGAGGACACCCGCGAGTCTGTGCATCCAGAGGTTTCAAGGGCAGGGAGCTGGGACGTGTGTGCTACAGGCATGGGGCAGGGGGCCCTGGGGGCTTTGCCTGGCACCACAGAGGTGATCTGCCTTGCCCTGGGGTGGGGCACACACATGCCATCCCTGGGCCATAGCAGCCTGCTACCAGAGGACCCTACGACGCCTGCTCAAATGTCCCCATGTCCTAGGGGCCATCTGTGATTCCCTCTGCCATACAGTGTGGACGGACCCTTGTCCCTTCTGACTTGTTAAATGCAACTTCCTCATGGAGGCCTTCCAGACCCCTAAGGCAGGTCCGCCCCAGGATGCCCCCACCCGCCACTATTTATGTTCAGGGTTCCACAGTACCCTGGAATTCCTCATCCCCCACATTTTTCTTATAACTCCTTAGTCAGTGCCTGCCTGCCCTCATAGATCATGTGCTCCATGGAAGACACGGTGCCGGGCACACGGCTGATAGTCAATAAATATCATTTATGAAGACATGGAGGAATCTCTACAACAGCACTTAGCATGTTATATTCCGAGTGCCTGTTTGTGTCTTCTGCCCACTCTCAGCTCTCATCACCGCCGTGCCGGCCACAGTGCCTGATAGGTAAGGTAAGCTGTGCCTGCTAACTGTTGGGTGAATAAATTTATTCATAATTTAGTGAGCGCTGGATGCATCTGAGGACAGGCAATCTAATGACAGAGACAAAAAGGTAAAAAGGATCTTTGCTCCCATTGGCTGACTAATTATGTGCCAGGTCCTGTCAGCTCTGTGACAAGTAGCTTTCTAAGTGATAGCTAGTATCCTGTTTTTGGAAAGAAACCGAGGTTCAGAGAGGTTAAGGAACTTGCCCAACTCACACAGCTAGGCAGTGGTAGGCCTTGCATTCGGGTCTAGCCCATGATCTCAAGCTCTGAATACTTCCCTGAAATATTGATGGCAGTTCTTTCCCTAACTGTTCTGTAAGATGTTGAAGGCTAACTACCAGCATGGGAGGTACCTCCTAGCCAAGAGTGTGGGACTGGCCTGCAAGCTCCCTGAGGGCACAGACACAGCATCCCTGGTCCTCTGTGTTCTTTTTGTACTGGGACAATGACTGGGTCCCTTCTGACAACTGCGGGCTCTTTTCAAGAAGGGCACCCACATTGCCGCCCCCTCCCTCTCTGTGCTGCTGGCCATGATCTGGGCTCTGCGTCACTGCCTTGAGCAGCTTCCTTCTTTGGGGACCAGGCTTAGGCACGCACACAGCCCTTCCCCAGGACTATCTGCTTGAGGCAAGGGTGTCCTTGATAAGGCCCCTAGTCAGGCTGGAAAGGGCCCCCAGGGAACAAAGCCACGGAACTGCCATCGTTTCTGTGTGTGCTGATTGTCTCTATCACCAGGCAAGTGTCGGCTCAATGGACAGGCTCAGAACGTGTCCTTCCCCATCCAGCACTGAGGACAGGAGGCAGCTGGGGAGGCCCTTCTCCTCCACACCACCCATGATGCCCCAGTGCCCCTTTGCATAGAACGTAGGCCCTCACGGTCTGGCCCTGTGTCCTCCTTCATACTTTATTTCCTGGCAGGTATGGCTTCTTGGCCTTTAGCTAAGATCATGTGTAGTAGCTGCTCTTATCAGTTAATATTTCCTGGCAGGTAGAGCTATTCGTACTTCTGAAACCCAGTAGGCTCCCTCACGCCTCTAGGCTTCTGAACCTGCTTTTCCTTTGCCACGTCTGCCCTCCCCAGCTCACTGGCTTGGCAAACAGATGCTCTCTTTCCCTCCAAAAGAGAATCAAGTGTGCAAGGGGGCAGGGCGAACAAGTGCTAGGATTTCAGGAACGGACAGACCTCGGGTGGAACCCCAGCCTCGCTGTGTGTGTCTTTGGGCTAGTTACTTAATATCTCTGATCCTCAATCCTCTCTCTGTACACTGAAGTTAATAATATCTCATAGGGTTAGTGTGAAGAGTACAGGAGTTCATGAGTGTAAACTTCCCAGCATATCATAAGCAAGCACTTAGAAGATGGCAGTTGTGATTTTATTGCCTGAATACCTTCTAGGAGACTGAAGAACACCTTCAAAGGTAGAGCGGGGAGGTGTCAAGAAGCACGATGAATTTGAATGATACTGTGCTGGGCACCCCTTGTCTGCACCCCCCAGATGCACTGAGTCCCCTGTTCTGCCCCCACCTCCCCCTCCTCCACCCTACTCCTGGGTGACCTTAGTGGACTGTATCAGCCCATGGGAGGTGCTGGTAGGAGCTCAGCGTTTGGGGAGGAGGCAGGAGGAGAAACAGTCTAGGGTATTTATTACTTCCCCACTCCCCCCGGCTCCAGCCCAGCAGCCTCTCCTCCCTGGCCCCAGCTACCCTTCCCTGTCCCTGTTTAGTTCCAGGGGTAGAAGAGCGTCCCACTGCTGCTAGTCTTAGTACCTTAGTATCTCTTAATGCCCCTCGCCCCACCCACCCCTCTGTAAGTTGTCTCTTCACTGAAATGCCCTTATTGGAACTGAGATGAACTGTTCCCTGGGGGACCCAGATGAATACAGGCACTCTGCAAATGCATCCCCCAAGTCACCACGGGCAAAGCCCAAGACTGAACTCCCCTAGTGCTGGGCTCAGTGAAGCCAACCTCCATCCTGACAGCAGTGGTGCTGGCCTTGAGGAGATCTTAAGAGGTTCTCTCCCTGTCCCCCTCTCTCTCTCGAGAGCCAACATGCTCATGACACATGAGTGCCAGAGTCAGCCCCACGCTCCAGAACAAAACATTCCATCGGCGCCTGTGGTTCCTGCCACAAAAGGGATGATGCTCTGATTTCAGAGCAGCCAGCCCCCTGAGAGGTGGCGAGACAGCATTTCATAGCACACCCCACCCAGAACCAGTGCTCAGAGGAGAGGGACGGCTCCCCAAGAATCGACTCCTTCCTCAGGGAGGAGAGGACATTTCACCTATCCATACTGTACCGTCTAGAGCGAAGGGTCTCGGAGCATCTGAGCAGAGGATTTAAGAGCAAGGTCCCAGAAGACAGTGGAAAAGGGGAAAAGGGAGGGATGGTCCTGTGTCTGACCTTGGTTTTTATGTTTCATGCCCTGCAGTGGAAACCCATTTAATTTCTGCATAACTTAGAAAAGGTTTTAAATAGGCCTGGCAAAGAGCCATAAATACACTTAGAAGGGACAAGCCATTGGAGAGAAGAGAATGCTGACTTCCTGCATTTCAGGTCCTGGGCACCATGCTCTGTCAGGGAAATGAGGTGGGAGCAGGGGGCACTCATTGGCGCGTACACCAGGGGCTCCTCCGAGCACACAGCTGCTGTTCCATGGAAATGTGCAGATGTGCTCACAGGTCTATGCAAGCAGATTTGCTCTGTGGACCAGGTGCATCTGGGCTCCCAAGTACACTGCAGGCAGTAAAACTTGGTGGCTCAGAGAGTGGACTCTAGGTTTCAGTCCCAGCCTTTCCACTGATTGGCTGGAGATCTCAGACACATGCTGCTAAACTTACTCTGTTGGCCTCAGTTTCCTCATGTAAAAGAAATGTAAAAATGGATCTGTTAACAGTACCTACCTCCTAGGTACTGTAAGAAACCTAGGGCTGTAAGAAATTACGTGAGATGAAGTGTGAAAAAATAAAAGCATCTCCCTGAGCCAGGCACATGGCAACATTGAGCAATACTCAATCAATGGTCACTGCAATTATTATTATGGTAATAAAATACCATCACAGGCAGCATGAGATGAGCTGTATTTCAAAAGGGGGACGGGGAAGAGTATTAGAAAATGTAAACAGTCAATCCATCTCTTCGTCATGAACTTAGACAAATGGGCATTTTTAAATTCAGAAAGAGCATGCCTCTGTTGATTGGTTCATGGATGCTGCAGACAGGGTTGGGGTGGGAGGCCCTCTAATGTGGATTTGGAGAGTCTGTGAGAAGAAGTTGGGATCTGAGGCCGGGGTGGGAGGGGTGCTTGGAGGCCAAGGAAGCTCCTGAACACAGAGGCCAGGCCTGACCATGCACCACTCAGGGATGGCTTGAATGCAGGACCTGAAAGCAATCTTGGGGATTATCCAGTCTAGCCTTCCCATTTTGCAGATGGAAAAAGTGAGATGTGCCTTGCTCTTGGTCTTACAGGTGGTTAACAGCAGTGCTGTGACTGGGAATCAGGTGCCTTGACTCATATATAGTACTTTTTTCACCCCATCAAGAGATGCCAATCACTGCTTTTCCGCCCACCCTCCTTCCAAGTAAAGATGCTCTTTATACCCACAGTTCTCTATGCTCAAGAAGATGGATGGATCTAGGTGGCCATGTTTGTACAAAGTGACTTCAGACCCAGGTCACAGCTGATTGGTCCAGGAGCAACCACCTGACTCTAAGAGCCCAATCAGATTGGACCTTGGAAATTAAATCAATTTTCTGTGGGAACCTGAAAAAGAAGATTCTTGCGGTCTGGTTAGGGCTGATGTGGGCACCATGACAGGCTGAAAGCCATAGTTATAGGGTGGCAGAGAAGCCATGGTCAGACAGAAGAAGCCCATCTTCAGTGAGAAGACTGGAGCACAGTGAGGGAGAAAGGCAGAGGCAAGGGGCTCTGGGAGTCCCCCTGCCCTGGTCTTCACAGGCCCTGTCTGGACTCCATTTCGTGT